TTTTTTTTTTTTGAGATGGAGTTATGTTGCCCCAGGCTGGAATGCAATGGCGCGATTTACATTTCGGCTGACTGCAACCTCCCCCTCCTGGGTTCAAACGATTCTCCTGCCTTAGCCTCCCAAGTAGCTGGGACTACCGGCGTGCGCCCGGCTATTTTTGTATTTTTAGTAGAGATGGGTTTTTATCATCCTGGCCAGGCTGGTCTCTAACTCCTGACCTGAAGTAATCCACCCGCCTCGGCCTTTCAAAATGCTGGGATTACAGGCGTGAGCCACTGCGCCCGGCCCACAATCACTACTTAAGAGACAAACACGTAGTAAGCCATCTTACAACGCTGGGAAAACCAACACTCGCTTGCCTCCCAGTACTGACGGTGTGTCAGGCACTGAGGAAGGTGGAAGGAACAATCACAAAAATGAAAAAGAGAAGAGAGGAGCTGCATTCCATTTTAAACCTGCTCCCTAGTTTTCGGTGGCTCTGAGGCTCGGTTTACATCCTTCCGGGCAGTGTAACAAGTTCCTCCTGAACTCAGAATCCGTGCCCACCGCAAAGTGTAGCCACTTTCAGGCTGTGGGTCAGGGTAAGCTTGGGCTGAGGATGCTGGAGCCAGGACAAAGTGCAGCCCAGCCAGATCCCCACACGGCTGGGGCTTAGCCCCAGGCTTGCTCCCGAGAGCAGAATCCATTCATAGGTCCCTAAAAATCAGCCCGGTACGCTAGCCGTGGAGAGATTCCTACTTTCTGACCACTCGCTCAAACGCAAAGGTCACGTTAGCCGCTCAACCCCAAAGCAGAGGGGCTCGCCCCCCGGGCTCCTGGGCGGGGAAGGTGTGTCCCAGACACCAGCACAAAGGCTCCTTCACCGCGCGGCGCTCTGCTCCCTCAGGTGCGGACCCCCGGGGCCCGCCGGCTGCGCGCCAGGACCCCGCCGCTCCAGGCGGCTCCTGCGGCCCACGCGCTTCCGCTCCGCCGGGAGTTTCGAGCCGAGCCGCGGCGCTCACCTGTCCCGCCCGCAGCGCCAGCTGCACTGCCGCCTGGAAGCACTCCTCCCAGGGGCCGGCCGCGGGCACCGCCTGGTCCTCACCGCTAGGCTTCATCGCCGCCTCACAGGGCCCCGCCACCTCCAGCCCCCCTCGGCGGGACCCCGGCTCCCACCGGATCCCGCCGTCCCGCCTCCAGGCTCCACACTCCCTCTGCCTGCTCCCGCAGCTCTGCGCCTAGTCCGCCGCCTGTCCCACAGCAGCGCGAGCGGGAAGGGGATACAGCGGGCCGCGGGAGCCGCGCTTTCACCTCCCGGCTCCCCGTCCCGCCCTCCGCCCCACCCCATGCCAAGCCCGGCCCCGCGCCCGCGCCCCTCGCCCCGCCCCTCGCAGAGCCAGGCCCCGCCCCCTCTCTTCTCTTCCCCGCCCCTTGCCGCTCCAGGCCCCGCCCTGCACCCGCACGCCGCTCCTGGTCCCGCCCCGCGCCAAGCCCGGCCCAGTCCTGCGCTACGCCCCATGCCTGGCCCCGCCCCTCTGGGCTTGCTCTGAACACCAATCAGTGCCGAGCCTCGCCCCTCCCCGCGCTTCATCTCTGGCCCCGCCCCTCTCGTGGCGCTTCACCCTCCCCGCTCGGGGCGGACCCAACCGCTCCCCGCCGTGTCCCGGCCCGCAATGCGCCGAGCGGGCTCGCAGTCCAACTACTCTGATCCTCGAGCCCCGCCTCCCTCAAGTAGACCCCGACCCGGGTCCAAACCCCGCCCCGCTACCGCGCGCTGAGACCAGCCCTGCCCCGGCCCCCACCCCCGGCTGATGCTGAGCTCCGCCCTGCGCTGGGTGCTGCGCGCGGAGGGCGGCTTGGGCCGGCGCGGAGCTGGGAGGGAGGGGCTAGGGGCGGCGGTGTTGGGGCCCCGGGGCAGCTGCTGTCTGGGTGAACCGGTGCGGGGCCGGCCCAGCGCCGGATGTGCAGGGGCACGTCCCGCCGATCCTTGAGCACTTGGCGCCGGGCGTCCCTTCCTGGTCTGTGGCCAGCTTCGGGCTCAGGAGCTAGGGGTGGCCGAGAGACTCGGAGGCCGCCGTGCTGCGTGCGTCGTTCCCGGCCTCGCGGGACCTCAGACAGCTGAGCGCACAAGGTCGCAGTGTTGCCGCAGGCGGCCGCCAGGCGCGGGAAGTTTCGACACAAACAAGCTCTCCGTCCCCAACCCCAAACACTGCGAGGACAGCGGCTGGGCTTTATAAACTGTTTACACCCAAAACTCGAATTTGGAGCCGGAACTGTGATTGCGATGAACCTCCGTAGTGAGGAATGACCTTTCCAACCTTGGATTCCCTTGCTGGCCCATGTAAACATAAATAGGAGACGTTTCCCGAAAGAGTGGCTGCGTGGTTTCCAAAGTTAATTTCATAAGCCGCCCTGCCTGCCCTTTTTATAAAAGATGCAGACCCACGTAAAATTATTCTGGAGTGCCACTTGGGAGTCTGGGAGAACAATGGGAGTTTATACAAGAATCTTGATGGGACATTTTTTTACACGCTTAACCTAATAATGAAGTTAAACGTTTTAAGTTTTTGTGAGTGCTTTGTTTTTTTGAAACCGAGTCTCGCTCTGTCGTCAGGCTAGAGTGCAGTGACGAGATCTCGGCTAACTGCAACCTCCGCCTCCCGGATTCAAGAGATTCTCCTGCCTCCACCTCCCAAGTGGCTGGGACTACAGGCGCGTGCCACCACACCAAGCTAATTTTTGTATTTTTAGTAGAGATGGGGTTTCACCATGTTGGCCAGGATGGTCTTGATCTCTTGACCTCGTGATCCGCCCCCCTAAGCCTCCCAAAGTGCTGGGATTACATGCGTGAGCCACCGCACCCAGCCTGTCTGTGAGTACTTTATGTTGAGACACGTTGTGAAGACACTTCTTTTAAGTGTACAGTGTAAGAAGCAAAAAATACACAGAGGAGGAATTACAAACAGGAAATACAAACACTTAGATATGAGTACAACTTTAGGGACTCTGTCCTCATCCTGTGTCCTAATCCTACGGCTTAGAAAACAAGACCAATTGCCCTGCCTCCCACCATGCCAGTTTGAGGCAGCTAAGGACGCGCTCACCTCCATCTTTTTTGTGTTCTGAGTTTTTATGATGTTCAAGACAGCAGGACTTCAGAATGCACTTAAGACTGTGCTGTGAATGCCTATTTTAAAATAAATGAATTCTTTGCTGCTTTTCGTGACAGGTTTTCAATAGCCATCACTTCCAACATCAAGAAAAGTTAAGAAGCAAAATGTCTCTTCCATCTCTTCCCAGTTAGGCTTTCTGAACACCTCTGGTAGTGTGACCCCCATCTGGAAGCTAAGTTATGTGTGTAGGTAAACTTTTATTATGGATCTCAGCTCTAAACATCTAGAAAAGGAGTTAACTTTCTTTTCCCAACTGACATATCTTAAGGCAGAATAGTGTGGTTTTTAACAGCATGAGGCTTTGAACCAGCCAGATTTTCCTAAATTAAAATATTAGCCTCCGGCCAGGCGTGGTAGCTCAGGCCTGTAATCTAAGCACTTTGGAGGCCAAGGCGGGCAGATCACCTGAGGTCGGGAGTTCAAGACCAGCCTGACCAACATGGTGAAACCCCGTCTTAAAAAAAATTGGCCTCACTTCTTCCTTATTGTGTGGATTTGAACAAGTTACAAATAACCATTTGTGCCTGTTTCTTCAACTGTAAAGTGGTCTTTATAACCATTGTATGGGTTAATGTACTTGTGCTTATAACTTATGTGTTTGCTATTACTATTAAAAGACTGGTCATTTAGGCACCAGTATAGGTAGCCTCAAGCAATTAGCATACTGCTTTGGCACCTAATAGGTGCTTAATAAGTATCTTCATTGTTGAGTATTGAAATTAGCTTTTTTTTTTGAGACAGGGTTTCACTCTGTTGCCCAGGCTAAAGTGCAGTGGCACGATCATGGCTCACTGCAGTTTTGACCTCCTGGACTCAAGTTATCCTCCCACCTCAGCCTCCCTAGAAGCTGGGTCTACAGGTATGGGCCACCGTGCCCAGCTACTTTTATTTTTATTTTTTATTTATTTATTTATTTTGAGACAGAATCTCACTCTGTCACCAAGCTGGACTGCAGTGGTTTGATCTCAGCTCACTGCAACCTCCACCTCCCAGGTTCAAGCAATTCTCCTGTCCCAGCCTCCCAAGTAGCTGGGACTACAGGCGCACAGTCCAACTGCTTTTTGTATTTTTAGTAGAGATGGGATTTCACCATGTTGGCCAGGATGGTCTTGATCTCTTGACCTCGTGATCCACCCGCCTCGACCTCCCAAAGTGCTGGGATTACAGGCGTGAGTCACTGCGCCTAGCCATTTTGTTATTATTATTATTTTAATATTTAGGATTTTTTATTGAGCACTGCTGGCAAACAATTGGAAACAATTTCAGCATCCACCAGTAGAGGAACAGCTAAATAAACATCAAATCTCAATGACAGGGGTTGAAAGGAATTTGTTAGAGCTATGGAACAACATGGATTTATCTCTAACACATGCTGTGAAGTAGAAAAGCAAGTTGTCAAATGGCACGAAAAGTGTGGTTCACAAGCTAAAAGTGCAAATTTCTCTCCCTCTCTGTGTATGTGTGTGTATTCTGAAAAGATAAAACTACCCAAAAATAATAATAACAGTGGCTACTTTGGAAAGAGGCCATTGTTGGGCAGATGCTGGGAAATGGAATTAGAGAGAATTAGGGATATGGGAAAAAAAAAAACAAAACGATTTTAGCTTCTTTTTTTTTTTTTTTTTTTTTTTTTTTTTTTTTGAGGTGGAGTTTTACTTTTGTTGCCCAGGCTGGAGTGTAATAGCGCAATCTCGGCTCACCGCAACCTCCACCTCCCAGGTTCAAGTGATTCTCCTGCCTCAGCCTCCCAAGTAGCTGGGATTACAGGCATGCACCAATACACCTGGCTAATTTTGTATTTTTAGTAGAGACAGGGTTTCTCCATGTTGGTCAGGCTGGTCTTGAACTCTTGACCTCAGGTGATCTGCCCACCTCAGCCTCCCAAAGTGCTGGGATTACAGGCGTGAGCCACTGTGCCCAGCCGATTTTAGCTTTATACGTAATACTTAGAAAATTTATAAAACCAGCCTGGGCAACATGGTGAAACTCTGTTTCCACTAAAAATACAAAACTGACCAGGGCATGGTGGCATATGCCTGTAATCCCAGCTACCTGGGGAGGCTTAGGTGGGAGAATCACCTGAACCTGGAGGTTCAAGAGGTTGCAGTGAGCCGAGATCCCACCGTTGCACTCCAACCTGGAAGACAGAGCAAGACTCTGTCTCAAAAAATAAAAAAAAAAAAAGAAAAGAAAATTTAGAGGAAAGAATGGTCATACATTATTTTTGCATTAAAAGTTGATTCTGAACATTAAGTAAAAATTGTTCTGATTTTATTGTAAGGGGCCCAAATCCTGATCAAAGAATCATGGATGAAAATATAAAATACTCTTCCCCAGCCGGCCTCCACGCCAATCTGCACACTGTCTCCTTCAGAGGTCCTGGAAGCTACACGAACTTTCCTTAAGCCCCTAGAATATTGTGCTCTGCCTTGAAAAACTATTGCCTAACTACTCCTCCCCACCCCCACCCTAAGGCACAGCCTCAGTGGGCACCCTGGTCACCAGGAGGCCACATGCACAGTGCTTGGGTAGGGGCCCAAGAAGCCAGAGCAGTGGCAGTGAGAAGGTGAAAGGGCACTGAGGACAGTCAGGATAGACTTCATGTCCTTATTAATCCAGGAGTCCCCCCACCCCATGTCCTTTATGAAAGAAAGCAATGTCTAAATAAACAAAATGTCAGGCTGTGTCCTTTTCTTCCAACCACTTCTCTAGCTTCCTCAGGTTACCTTGAAATCTGATCTTATTCTCCAGGGCTCATCTAAATCCCTAGAAGTTGGTCCAGAATAATGTCTGACCATTCTTAAACTGAAGTGTGGAAAAATTGATGTTAGAAGCTGAACTGTACTCCCCCACCCCCTGCTTCCAAATTTATGTGCTGAATTTCAAATCTCCGAATGTGCCTATATTTGGAGATAGAGCCTTTAAAGAGGTGATTAAGTTAAACAGGCATCGTTAGGGTTAGCTCTAATCTGACTGGTGTTCTTATGAAAAGAGGGAATTTGGACCTAGAAAAAGACACCAGGATTGCATGTGCACAGTGGGAAGGCCACAGGAGGACACAGTGAGAAGGTGGCCATCGCAAGCCAAGGAGAAAGGCCTCAGAAGACACCAACCCTACTGACACTTTTTTTTTTTTTAATTTTAGATTCAAAGGGTACATGTACAGGTTTGTTACATGGATATACTGTGTGA